CACATAATTGTTTTTTTTAGTTGTTTTTTTTTTTTTTTTTTTTTTTTTTTGTTTTGTCACCTTTTGGGGGGGGGGGGGGAGACGACGACACTTTTGGATAGATTTTTACCCAGAATGCAAATGGAAAAAACCGTGAGTGAAACGGTGACTGACGAGTATATAATCCATTGAGGGAAAGAAAGTTTCACATTTGCTCAAAAGCCCCCTGGTGGTTGAAGAAAAATCCACATATAAACCGGAAAATACAATATATGAAAAAAAACACTGAATGCTCTCTGGTATGAGCAGGCGGGCCGGATCCGGCATTGTTCAGGGGGCCGGACCAAATGACGTGGCGGGCCGGATCCGGCCCGCGGGCCGTAGTTTGGGGACCCCTGTTTTAAAGTCTTTGTTTCTGTTAATTATGATGATTTTTCACTTACAGGTCATGAAAACATGGCATTCAGAAACAGAACGTTACATCAGGAAAAATAATTAATGCAGAATGTGGACTTGATGAATAAATAATTAATATCTGTTGATTTACTGAATGTAAATGTTTTTACATTTAACTATCAACGTTATTTATTTGATGAATTATTTCCTCGTGAAATCAAATTGAAAAGTTTTTTACTTCTGGCTGACATTTATGCATGTATAAATAAGAAAAACAGCTCCGACTATTCAGACATCCTACTAAAAGATGTTGAAAACTTCATGCTTTCAGTTTTTTTTAGTTCTGAAAGTTTCATATATAGTAGAAAATAAATGTCTTTTATTAATACAATATTCTGTATTCCATATAAAAACTAGTGTTGAACAGTAAAAACAGCTTTAGGCCTTCAGGCAGAAGACCAGGTGGGTCTCTGAAACAAACCGTTTGACCGTAAAAAAATAAACCGAAAACTTTACAAAACTGATTTAACAATAAGATTCTTTAGCTTTTGGTTGAAATTACTTCATTTTCAATGAGGCTGAAAATTAAAAGAAACGTCTAGTGAAGGTTGGGTTCCAGAAGTTCAATAATTCATGATGGTTTTTCCTTCGGAGTAAAAGGTTTTCGATATAAAAATGACTCCCAGAGGCAGTTTGAGGCATGTTGCTGCTTTCAATTTGAACTCGGAAGTTGAGATTTCCGAGTTCGAAGGTGGAGAAATCGACTGGAACATTGGTTCTTAAAACGCAGAAAGTTTAGGATCTGCTCATATCTGCCTGGCAAATGGTGAACAGGTGTTTGCCAACTAAGGATTGAATGCAGAACCTCTGGCTCCGTTAGTGGGATCCAGAAGAAAAAGTTAAAAAAATGAAAAGCACTCTGTCCTTTTAGGCAATCAGAGCTGTTTGGTTCAAAGATCCAACTGAGAATATGATTTCATGCATTGTTTCTGAGATCAGCACCACAAACTACAGAATCTCTTATGTGCACAAATGAAATGCATTTAGATACTAGATTTACAGGAGTCTCAGCTGGAAGGATTCCACATTCACTTCGCAAAATGGAGACGGAAAACTTCAGGAACAATGCAAGTGGGCGGAGCCAAGGCACGCCGTGATCGGTCAGGAGTTTGTTGTCGTGTTTTATGCAGAAATGCGCTCAAACAACAACATTGATATTTCCATATTTCCCTTGAACTATTTTCTTTTTTTTTTGTTTCTGCGGGCGTTGTGAATGCTGAATGTTTTTATACGACGTGGTGAGAGGTTATGTACATTTTTACAGTTCTTCACTAATTAACTCAAAGTTCCTCTGTTCTTCTGGATTGCAACGTCGTCGTGAATCAGATAGTAACAGATTCCCACCTCTGCTATGCAAACTAAAACATATTTAGACTTTGTCCTGTATCTAATTTTAATGTCCTTCTCCTCCACTAGGTGGCGTGATTAACCTGTCGGTGCCCATCGTGCTGCCGGTGTCCACGGCGGATAAGGAGCGTCTGGACGGCGTGACGGCCATGGCGCTGGTCTATAGCGGCCGACGCGTCGCCATCCTCCGTAACCCGGAGTTTTACCAGCACCGGAAGGAGGAGCGCTGCGCCCGGCAGTGGGGCACCACCTGCAAAGACCACCCCTACATCAAGGTGAGCGTCGCGGAGCCGCTTCTGTACGTCAGCAGAACGAGACCAGGCTTGTTTACGCACTGCTAGGAAAATGACCAGAGCTGGCAGTTACCTTTACTGAATTACTTTTACTTTAGTAATTTTGTTATGAAGTATTTTTACTCTTTATTGAGCAAAACTTCTGGATTTTCTACACAGTGAATGAAAAACAAACTTGTTTTAACCAAAAACTCACCGGACACAGACACACACCTGCAGTTTTCCTTAAAGTTTCTTACGTTTTTTTATTGAATGAAACTCATTTGGAAAATGAGTTTCCAAATGACATAACATAAAATAACATGTTATTTTATGTTATTTATATGAATTATTGTCATTTTGTCCTTAAAGTGCCCAAATTTTCACTTCACATTTTGTTCCATCTGATGTAATTTTTAAATATTAAATGACTGATAATTTGATCAGTTACTCTAAAAATACTCTTTCTTACATGGCCACATTTTACTTGAGTAAAAATGCTGAAGCGTTGAAGCAGGAACATCTTTTGGGAACTTTGTCCACCTCTGAAAAATCACTATTAAGGAAACATTCGAGGCAGAATCAAGTCGGAGGCGAACTCTGAATGTTTGTTTCAAGGTTTTACTTGATTAAGGAAAAGGCAACGAGCTACAGCTGGTAAATCAGCGACCTCCTAACCAACCCACTGATGCTCTCACTATTTCTCCTTCTTCACATGTTAACACATAAATTAGTCGCTGATCGTTTCAACTCTGGAAAAACCTCAAAACAAAACATCTTCATCTTCTGCACCCAAATCTCCCCTCATGATGGGAAAGCAGCCCAGGAAGCTTTTCTCATACCATGAAGTGTTGTGTGTCAGCAACATGTTCATTATTCTAAATCCAAACCATTCTGACTAGAAATGTAAAGTACAAGATGAGCAAATCAATGTAATTAATAAATGCTAAAAGGTTATTGGAGCAAGAAAGCAAACGAGTAAATTAATATTTTGTGAAGAATTATAAAGTAAACACTAGATAAGTAAAACAAACATGATGCAGTGAGTAAATATGACGATAAAATAACGTTTTTGATGCGGTTTGTGCTGACTGTTATGGACAGCCTGGATTCATTGGCGTGTCAGAAACAAACAGTGAGATCCTGAAAACGTTCAGTGGAGGAGCCACATGCTTACTGATCTGATCACACGACGCCTCTGCTGCCGACGGCCGTCAGACGGTTACATGGAACTGGAACCGCTCCGGATGAAAGCCTCTTCACACGCTGACCGAGAAGCGAGAGCCGTAAATCCATTTCTGAGGCGAGTTATAAAGGATTCATCGGCTTCTTGAATTCTTGGATTTGTATATTATAAAAAGGCTCGTCATGGTAGATCAGGCCATCTTAACCAGTCGGTCTCCATCGACTTTGTTCATTAATGAAATGATGGTTTTATTCTACTTTGTGGTATTTATTTAAAAAATACACAGATGATTAATTTCTGCATTTTAAATTTAGAATCACTGGATTCACACAAACTTTATTCTTTTAGCTCTGGGTGGATCAGTAACTCGCTGCCCTTTGACTCCTAAGAGTCAGAGTGCTTTGCTCTCTTCTCTGACGGAAAAACTGAACATCTGGAGAAATGGAGGTTTACTCACTACTTAAGAACTTCGTTTTGATCCACCCGTCTTCTGCAGGTGTTAAATCTGGAATCTGATGTGATCTCCACCCTCAAAACAAAAAAAAAAAAATGTTTGGGAATGTAGTTTCCATTTCTCTTCAAATGCGTCTGTTTTTGTGTTTTTATCCAGCTGTTTTCTTGCACAAGTTTTTCTGACACCTGCTTTGTGAACAGAAACACAGAACTTATTTTGCCGCTTTGGGCTGCTGAATTTTTTGCGGTTTGACGGAATCCAAAGGATTTAAGCCACACTAAAGCAGCAGCCGGAGACTTTCAGTGAAGATTCATGTTTTTGTTTAGAGATGAACAGGATGCAGGTGGAAACAGTCCAAACTCTTCAGGTTCCTCCCTAGTTGTGAGGGAAAAATTAGGAAAGTTTTCTGTTAAATGTCAGCCGTCCGTCTGTCCGTTCGGTTCTTTCTGTCTGGGTTTCAGCAGATTCTGTAGTTGAAGACAGACTGCTGTAAAACTGCAGTTAAGTATTCACACCCCTGGCAGATTTAGTTTATTTTACTGATTTGAAAGTTATGCAGCTACCTCTGAAGGATAAGAAAACAATATAAAAGCTTTTCTTATATTTCTCATATCATACAGGTGACATATTATGCAAAAGATTTTGAGAAAGAAAAATTTTGTGCAAAAAAATGTAATAAACATGTTTTGTGTAGCCCATAGAGCTATTTTAACATGTTCCTATAAAATGTTAAAAATTAACTATTCCCCTTGAAATTGCTTTGTTTTGTTTATTAATTTCAGTTGTGGACCATTGTTTACTGGTTTGCAGTGACTTTACTTCCAGTAACTGACTGGTTGACTTTTGATGTTTGAGTCAGAGCCGCAGAGAAACCGCCCCGATATTTCAACTCCTTAACTTTTAACTTTCATCTTATTCCCACCATCGCCATGGTGAAATGTGGCTCATGTGTTGAATGATGGAGGGGGCGGGGGGGCAGGGGCGGCGGCTACACGTGTCCTAAATTGGGACCATGACTCTCCACTGTCGACACCTGACGCCTCAACGCCGTTGCCACACACGCCTAACCTGGTGTGTGTGTGTGTTCAGCCTGCTCTGATTAAGGCCTCCCTCGTTAAACTGTGTGTGTGTGTGTGTGTGTGTGTGTGTGTGTGTGTGTGTGTGTTTACATGACTATACGTCTCTCTGGCTGCACCGGAGCCTGTCTGTCAGCGGCGCCCTTTACTGTGCCGCATTGTTTCTGTCTGCTGCAAACGAGCCGCTCCATTCAGACGCAGCTAATCCACTTTTTCCTGTTTACCTGTCCGTCAGGCAGCCCCCCCGCCCCCTCCCCCCTGACAGGAAGCCGCGGTGTGTTCGGGTCGGGTCGGTCTGTGTGCTGTGTGACGTTCGTTCACGGTTCATGTGAGCCTCTTCTCCACATATGGGTCGAGTTTTTCAAGCCACCTCTGGACAAATTGGATCAGTTAGCGTGTGGAGCGGAAAAATGTAAATTTCTCACACGACTTTCCTTTTGATCAAATCGTGGCGACGCCTCTGCTGCTGACAGCATTCAGATTTAAACCCACTTTAAAGCAGAAACTGCAGCCAGGCCGTTCTTTGGTTTTGTTTTTTAAATATGAATATCAAAGGCTGTTTAAATGATGAATTACATGTTCATGGAATAAGTGACACAAATGTTTTTCTTTTTCTTTAATGCTCAGATTCATCAGTTTCTTGCAGTAAATCTGGCTGGGTCTCCTAAGGACTGCAGGAGGGAGGCCAGAGATATCGCCTGAAACAAAATCAGCCTGAGCGACTTGGATCATTGTTTGATTCTCCGGGGAGAAAGTTTCTTTCTCTAGCAAACATGGGAACGTTTGTCACTTAATTGTGAAAAACAGCAGATTTTATCATCCCAATGTTCGGGAAATGTGGTGAAAAAACCACTTAAACCTTTTTATACAATATTAGAATTACAGTAAAAATTAATAACATTTTTTAAATAAGAAAATAAATGTTTTATCCATAAAAATGATCATTTAGTAAATGATTGATCATTTGCATCTAGAATATTTCTGACATAAGCATGAAAAGCTCAGGACTTCCTGCTTTGTGGATTAAACAGTTAATAATTGGAGAGCAAAAGGTTCTTACTCAGTTTGTTTTTTATGGATTTTGAACCAGTTGAAGCTGAAACTGTGGAAAATCTTTACAAAGGTTTTATTTTCTGTTTTAAATGGAAAATGTTTATATTTTTTGTACGGTTTGGTTTAGTTACTGCTCAGTGTGTTCTTTCTACAAATTGCCTTTTTTAACTACAGTTAACGATTCATTGATAACTAAATTAGTTGATTCAATAAGTGATTAATCACAATAAGTGCGATTGATTGTTCCAGCCCTGATTGAGACCTGACTGTGGTGACTGATCTGTCGTGTTTCCAGATGGTGATGGAAAGTGGCGACTGGCTGGTTGGCGGAGACCTGCAGGTTCTGGACCGGATCTACTGGAACGACGGACTGGACCAGTACCGGCTGACGCCCAACGAGCTCAAACAGAAGTTTAAAGAAATGAACGCAGGTAGCCGTCCCGCCTGCCAGCTCCACTTCCTGGTTCTGGTTTCCTCCCACCAAACCAGTCCTCTCCTCTCCATGTGCAGACGCGGTGTTCGCCTTCCAGCTCCGGAACCCGGTCCATAACGGCCACGCCCTGCTCATGCAGGACACCCAGAAGCGGCTGGTGGAGCGTGGCTACCGCCGGCCCGTCCTGCTGCTCCACCCGCTGGGAGGCTGGACCAAAGACGACGACGTGCCGCTGCCGTGGCGGATGAAGCAGCACGCCGCCGTGCTGGAGGAGCGCGTGCTGGATCCGGACTCCACCATCGTTGCCATTTTCCCGTCTCCCATGATGTACGCCGGACCGACTGAGGTAACGCAGATCCAGGCGGCGCTGAGCTTTCTGTAAACACAGATAAAAATCCTCGCTGCTGCTCTGAATGATGAGCGTTGAGGCCGTCTCATCCCGGCTGACTGACCGAACAGGAAAGGGAACCAGCAGCTGGGCCGAGTCGCTCTGCTCAGCCGCTGGAAACTTTTCATTCATTCATGGAAGCAGCCGATCATTGGGAACAGACTGAGGGCTGTTGGACATCAGGGATTCAGTTAAATTGGTTTGGCGCCGTAAAAAGTTTTATTTTTTCTTTTAGGTCCAGGTGCAAGCCTAACGTTAGCGTTTAGCTGTTAAAAGCGAGATTATTTCTTCTCTGGTTTTCATATTTACGGGATGGCCCTGAAGCAGACAGGAGCTGCTTTCTTAAAACACTTCAAGGTGGCTGAAAGTGGCTGTTTTATCTGCATCTGTTTACTGCAGATTGTTTGTTTGACCACTTTAGCCTTTTTATGCAACATTAAAGATGAAACTAAACAAATAATTCAATTTGTTTTTAAAAAAAAACAACATATTTTATTGCCTAAAATGAAATGACAGCATTCCTTTAGTGAAAGTTTGATCATTTGTAGCAAACAAAGCATCTGCATCTAAAAATCCTTCGACATGAGAAAAGCTCAGACATTTCTGCTCAGCTGATCATCAGCAGATAATCCCAGATCAGCAAAACGCTGATCTGGGATTATTTTTTCATTTAACCAGTTAATAACTGGACAGCAACAGATGGTGCAGGATTTGAACCAGGTGACGTGTTTTAGCTTAATTACTGCTCTGAGTTTTTTTTTTAATAGGAAATTGCCTTTTTTGAGTCTCTAGTTAACGATTAATCAATTACTAAATGAGCTTATTTGAGGAATTGATTACTCTGATTAGTTTAAATCTGCCATGTTCAACAGAATAAGCCTATTCTGTTGAGGTTTCAATCTTTTTGCTGTCATAGGAGAGAAAAGTATCAGATTTCCTGCATTCCCTGAACCTAACACACGTCTTGTTCTAAACTACCGTTTTAAAATCCTTCCAGACTTTTAATCTGCTCCCTGCTGGATTATTAGTGTCTCTTCTCCCGTTTTCAACATCTTCCAGCTCCATTTTGTTGCTGCTTCTGATTGGCCGGCGCTCAGAGACTCTTTGTGGGTTTATGGCTGAAATGTTGGAACGAAACATTCAACAAACAAAAACATTCATTAAAGTAGCAGCTTCATATTGAAGTTTTCAATTATTTAACTTTTCATCCAGACACCTGCTGCAGGTTTTCAGATCCTTTTTAACACCAGAAACTCCAAAATGAGAGAAAACACTCAGATGGCCTGCAGGCTTTTTATGGAAAAAGCCTGAGAACAGTTTGTGAACCGACGTTCTTCGTTCCCGCAGGTGCAGTGGCATTGTCGAGCCCGAATGGTCGCCGGCGCCAACTTCTACATCGTGGGTCGCGACCCCGCAGGCATGCCCCACCCAGCCACGGGGAAGGACCTGTACGAGCCGAGCCACGGAGCCAAGGTCCTCACCATGGCACCGGGCCTCGTCTCCCTGGAGATCGTTCCCTTCAAGGTCGCTGCGTACAACAAGGTCAAAGGAGCCATGGACTTCTACGAGCCCAAGAAGTAAGCTCACGCCGTTCGGTCCCGACTCTTCGGTCTGGTTGTCACGGTAATGGGAAACAGGAAGTACTCACTCAGGGTCAATTTGGAAGCTTGTTTGGACGTTTAATCCCGTTTAGGCCAAGCAGTCTAAACAGAAATTATATTCTATAAATGCGTTGTGTGTTTGTAGAAAGGCTCCTGTTCTCCTGGTACTTTTGTCTCTGGGAAACGCTGAGCCAAAAATAACACCAGTTGTTTTCTTTTCCTCAGAGCTAAAATGTTTTAAGCTTTGATGTTGCTCAGAATCACACAGACCTGCCGCTGATTAAAGTCTGTGTCTGCGCAGCACAAATGATTTTTAGCTCCAGTCACGCCGTTTATTTTGTTTTCCTCTGTGATGAAGGCTGCGTGAGCGAAGCTGCATTCACAGACGAAGATTCAGGTTGGTCAGATTAGTCGAGTTTTCCATGATGCAAAGTCGGGACTTTAATCCTAATCCAACAGTTGATCGGAAGTATAGTAGTCCTGCTTCACATATTCTCATATTTTAATCTAGTTTCTTCCTTCACATGAGAGAAAAGCTCAATTTAATGTCAAATTTTCTTTTCTCTCGTTCTTCCTTAAACTGGATGATGAAAGTCTTTAGTCTGGTGTTTTGGTCTCGGCTAGTTTATTTTGTTTACAGATAATTCATAATTAATTTAATTTGCTGTTTCTGGTGTTTTATTTATTTTTAGATTTCAAATGTTCCAGCTCCAATGATAAATGTTCATCAGAATTTCACGTTTGATCTTTGACTGTGTTCTTGCATTATTATTATTATTATTATTATTATATATTGGAAATGATCTCAAAACAACGCTCTCGTTTGTCTCAATAACTTCAGCCACAGTTGATGAAGTTGTTTTTGTGACAGGCTAATTTTTCATGCATAGCATTGTTTTAACATGCATATAAAAAACAAACTTCATTCTGAAGGAGTGGCAGATTTTATTTTTCTGTTGGGAAGTCAGGAAACCCTGATGTTTGTAATAAAATAAAACGATTTCTATTAAAGCAGTCAAACTCTTTCTGAGTCACGCCTCCTAACTCGTTCCCTCTGCTTCGGTGTCTTTCTGTCCTGCAGCCATCAGGATTATGATTTCATCTCTGGCACGCGCATGCGGAGGATGGCGCGCGAAGGGGAGAACCCCCCCGACGGCTTCATGGCCCTGAAAGCCTGGGCCGTTCTCAAGGAGTACTACCAGTCCCTGGAGAAGGCCTAACCGGAAAACCAGGAAACGCCAGATCTTATGCTGCCTGACATGAGAAACGCCGGGACCTCAGTTTTAGGAAGAAACTTCATTTTATCCGTCTCACTTCCTGCCATGAAAGTTGCTTTTAGTCCTGTTACATTTGTGTTTTTAGCCGTGTGCTTCATTTACTCTTTAGTAGATTTCTCCTTTTCCACTGAACATTCAGATTAACGTGTAATAAAGTAGATTATCTGCAGATCTAAAGATGGCGACAGCTCGGTGCTGTTGATCAGTACCTGAATGCGTTTGGAGCGGTTCTGTTCTGGAAGCCGCAGTAAAAGTCGAGTGCCTTGGTCTTTCACATAATGTCACGTTGGGATCACCGATTCTTTGTATTGCTACACAGAAAAGCTCCTAAACTGTTAACTCAGTATTTTCCTTGAAATATATTTATTCTCGTTTTAACCGGATTGTGCATGGTAGTCATTGTACTTTAAGTTTTTTACATCCTTTCATTTTCTTTTCTACCTCCAGCTGCTCGTCTTTTCCTTGTGGTAAATCATTTTTAATATTTCGGTTAGGATCACGTTTGTTATCTTCCCTGTCCAATAAATCATTTTTAGAGAAAAAAAATCAGTCTACTCTCCTTTTTGTTTGTTTTTGTTTTGAGGAGATGCCATAAATGTAAGGCCTTTTCTTAACGAACACCAGAGGGCGTAAGTGGCAGCGCAATGCGGTTACTGAAGCACCCGACAGTGGATGGAGAGCATCGTCTGGTTTGATGCTTGCTGGTTGTCGTATCAACGCTCTGTTTATTGTCCAGTTGTATTATCTCCACTCTGATAAAAAGCAGCTTTATGCAAACTGAATTATTTCCATGCTTCCTGCTAATCTGCAAACAATGTTTGACCGTTGCTTTACTTTTTGTAGCAATAATTAAATTTCAAATAACATTCAGTTTGATTTGCTTAAGCCTTGTGATTTTTATTTTTTTTATTTTGTATCCTTTATTAACTTAATATAGACAGTTTGTCACATTACAGTCACAAGCTTCACCGTTTTCAATAGGATTTTATATGAAAAACCAACAAAGTGTTTGTTTTATCTGAAGAGGTCTCTCTTAGCGGATGGACCTGATGTACTTTTGGGTATTTTTTAGAGCAACTAAACCGCAAATCAACCTTTTTGCATTTTAACTGTATAAATTGATCTCTAAGGCTGCTGTCTTTATGTTGAGTTGAGTTTGACTTTATTGAAAGTACTGCACTAAAAGAATAAAAGTTGTACACAAAGAAAATACATTTAAAACGACAATAGTAAAGTATATTTACACATTCAAAGGAGTGGGCAGAAGTATAAACTTATTTTAAAAGCCACTCCTCTTCCATCTACAGTATCATCCAATAAATTACTGTTAACTTGGTTTTAACTCTCAGTATTTACTGTATCTGTAACCAATACAGTGCAGTCATAATGTCTAGCAAGAATAACTGTAAAATGTTAGTTTTTCCTGAATCAATACACCATAACATGGTAATATTGAAATATTAAATGGCAATAACATTGCAGTAATAACAGTAATAATGTCTCATATTGACATGCAGTGATGAGCATCTTCTTCAATTATGTTTTATATTTGGACATAATTTTTATGCTTAAATCATTCCACAGCTTCATCTCAAACTGGTATACAAAAACTTTTTCTTTTGATTCTGAATTTTAGATTTTTAATTCACATTTTCCCTTAAATTATAAAGTCCTTATTTTAAGAAGAGCTTTTGAATGTTTCCCGGTAATTAATTATTTTTTTTTACTTTAAACTGTAATTCCACTATATCAACAAATTTTAACAGTGTTTCTCTACAAATTTTGACATTTTAATATAAATTAGATGAATTCTGTGATTTATTTTCTTTTATTATTGTTCTTTTTTGTGAAATATTTATTGGCATTTTAACAAACTTCAACAGCGCAAATCAACTTCCTGGAATTCTGCGATATTTTGCCTAAAACCGTCTCAATGCTGCCCTCTGTGGTTGAACAGCGGCTACTGCAGATGGCTTGGTAGATGTTTTGAAAGTCGTCAAATTTGCAGCGCTGGGTGGGTCAGTTCATCCCCTCACCTGGCCACGCCCCCTGCGGCTATTGGCTCCGCCCACTTTGATGGGCGCTATGCTTTCACTGGCGGGTCAACTGCACGTTAAATAACGATTAAAGGACGATAAAAAGTGTTTAAAATTAATAGGTTTATTTCTGAAATAGAAATAATGTTCTTAAAACAAAACCTGCATATGATTATTCGTCACAGCTCAGTTATTTAATTTTTAGTAGGTGATATTTATGATGTTGTTTGGGAATTGCAGTTTTTCTGATCCACACCCAACAGTCAGATAAACACCAAACATATCTGCACTCATTTAACCTCGTCTTCGTCTTTTGGAAAAACACTGGATCAGTTCCAGAAATAAAGAGCTTTATTCTGCTTTTTAAAAATGTTTTTATTTCAGATGTCTTTAGTGAGACTCATATGAACCAACAGAGAATAGAAATTATAATAGCAAAAGTCAAATTTTAATCAGTTTTTGGCGTTTTCAAACAGCTGTTAGACTTAATTATGTGAAATCACAATCTTTATATATTCTGCAATAAAAATAAACAGTAAACAGTGAGATTTGTTTGTAAAATCACAAAATGTAAGGGTTAATACTTTCGCAACCCACTTTCATGCATTTAAGCAATTAAAAACCTTCGGCTCTCTTTATGAGTAATGTGGAAAAATCTTGATTGATTCATTAATAAAACGATGCAGTCAGGTTTGGTTCGTGCTGCTGGAAAAACCGTTTCAATGCAAGGAATCCAGCAATCGGTCACAAGCAAGTACGTGGTGACAGTGGAAAGAAACCACTCCCTTCTATCCATGTGAGCGCGATCGATATCGTTTCCAGACTTCCTCAGACCCGTTTTCAGCCGAGTAGCCAAACATTTTTTAGAGAAAGGTTTTTGTTTACATCGATAGAATCCTAAACTCAACATCCTGACCAGAGTTTCAAAGGATTTGGTTTTAATTTGTTGTGACTTTGTTCATCTAATTCAGTTAGTTTTAATTATTTTAACAGCGTTTTTCCTTCTCTTTTTTAGTTACTATTAGTTAAATATTGTTTAGTTTAAGTTTAGTTTTATTTATATTAACGTAGTAGTTTTGGGTTTTTCACACTGTGGTTAATTTTTAGATGCAAAATTGAAAAATTAATTGGGTAATGAATACTCATTAGATTATACCATTAAAAATATTCAGTTATTATTAAACAACTGAGTGACTCGTTGCGTTTCCTCCCAAATTTTGCTGTCGCCAGGAGGAGCGGCATCATTTACCATCAGCTGATGTAAACTGTTAGTTTTATAAACACAATATTGTTCCAGATATTTAGTTTTTCTCCATTAATTACCATTTTTATTCATTTCAGTGAA